CTCCTTCACTTTTCTCTAACTGCACTCGGTTAAAAAATCTTGACCTCTCCTACAACTCTTTAACGGGCAAAATTCCTGAAGAAATTGGAAATTGCCGAGACCTATGGACCCTCAGTTTATACAACAACAAACTTACGGGGCAACTTCCTGCATCTTTAACCAATACTTCACTGAATAATATTGATGTAGAGTACAATTATTTATCAGGTCAGCTCCCATCAGATATTGTAGGAAACCTACCTGAACTATTATTCCTCCATCTATCATATAACAGAATGGAAAGCCATGATCACAACACCAATCTTGAGCCCTTTTTTACTGCCCTCAGAAATTGCACTGGTTTACAGGACGTTGAATTGGCTGGCATGGACCTTGGAGGAAGATTGCCTATCTCGATTGCTCAACCTAATCTGTTCCATCTACAGTTGCAAGAAAATCACATCTTTGGATCAATACCTTCTGCGGTAGGGAATCTTTCACGTCTTATGGACTTGAATTTGACATCTAATCTTCTAAACGGAACAATTCCAGAAGAGGTCAGCCAGATGTCCAGATTGGAACAGCTCTTTTTATCGCACAATTTTTTCAGCACCACAATTCCAGCAGCATTAGGGAAACTACCTCATCTGGGTCTGCTTGATCTATCAAACAATCAATTCTCGGGTGAAATTCCAGCTGGCCTAGGGAACCTGGTTCAGCTCAATTATTTATTTCTCAACAACAACCTCCTCTCAGGAACAATACCCCCAACAATAGGACAGTGCAGAGAACTCTACAAGTTGGATTTGTCATACAATAACTTAACGGGGGAAATCCCTCCAGAAATCTTGGGCTTGCACGAGATCAGAATATTTCTAAATTTATCACACAACCATCTTGAAGGGCCATTGCCTATTGAGCTCAGCAAGCTTGAAAATGTTCAAGAAATAGATCTGTCATCAAACAACCTCCAAGGAAATATCTTCCCCCAGATATCTGGCTGCATTGCAGTGACTTTGATAAATTTCTCCCACAATTCTCTTCAAGGACAACTTCCAGATTCACTAGGTGATCTGAGGAACCTTGAATCCTTTGATGTTTCAAGAAACAACATCTCCGGAGTGATACCAAAAAGCCTCAGCAAAAGTAACACCCTCAGATTCCTCAATCTTTCTTGTAACAACTTTGAAGGAAGAATTCCCTCAGGCGGCATCTTCAATTCGTCCACAAATATGTCTTTCTTAGGCAATAAGCATCTATGTGGAGCACCTTCTAATACACCCATTTGCTCCCGAAGGAGACACTGGTTTCATTCCCGAATCTTCTTGATCATATTCGTTATAATCATATTCGTAACAGGATTCGTATCAACAATACTTTGTGCGATCGGACTCCGCCAACTTAAAGCAATGGTGTCCTCAAGAAGAACTGTGCACGAGGGAAAGCCAACGGAACCTGAAATAGCGCACAACTTCCCAAGAATTACTTACAGAGAACTGTCAGAGGCCACCGGAGGGTTTGATGAGCAGAGACTAATTGGGACAGGTAGCTATGGACGTGTCTATAAAGGAGTTCTTCACGATGGAACAACCATTGCGGTGAAGGTGTTAACTTTGCAGTCTGGAAATTCAACCAAGAGTTTCAGCAGAGAATGCCAGGTTTTGAAGAGGATACGGCACAGGAACCTTATGAGGATTGTAACAGCATGCAGTCTACCTGATTTTAAGGCTCTGGTTCTTCCTTTTATGGCTAATGGAAGCTTGGACAGCCGTCTCTATCCACATTCTGAGTCAGGATTGACTTCAGGCTCTTCAGATTTGAGTCTAATTCAGAGGGTTAACATTTGCAGTGATATTGCTGAGGGGATGGCCTATCTGCATCACCACTCACCAGTTAGAGTCATACATTGTGACCTGAAGCCAAGCAATGTTCTTCTCAATGATGACATGACGGCTCTGGTTTCTGATTTTGGGATTGCAAGGCTAGTTATGACAGCAGGTGGCGGAAATGCAGGGGTTGTTGAGAACATGGGAAATTCTACTGCTAATATGTTGAGTGGAACAATTGGATACATCGCCCCAGGTAGAAATTGCTCCTCTTTTTCTGCATTTCAAACTTAAATTAAAGAAAATAACAGTAAAAGTGAAGAGTTTTCAAAGCTGCATCTGATACTCTGATAAACTCTCAAATAGTCAGGAAGAATATTTGTTTAAAGAAGTAAAAAAAAAAAAAAATGTTATGTAAAAATTCTTATATGTAAAAACCAAAATGAACAAAAAGTGATACCAACCACTCATATGTAAACCTCAATCACATATACATAAATTTCGGATGGATGCATGTCTTCATAAAACCCTCAGCATCGAATGCAAATAATCATTTTTCAACAAGATTCATTCATCAGTATCAAGTTATTGTAGACAGCATAGTGTTTTCTTTTCCTAATGTCTTAAGAAGAAGACCCTGTATTTTTCTTAAGATCCTTCCTTTTATTATTATTATTATTCTTTAGCTGGATAGAATAAAATGTTTATTAGTTTCCCAATTTTGTTCTGCAGAGTATGCATTTGGATCAAACACATCTATAAAAGGAGATGTATACAGCTTTGGAACTCTAGTTCTTGAGATAGTCACAAGAAAAAGACCAACAGATGACATGTTCGTTGGTAATTTAACCCTGCACAAATGGGTAAAGAATCACTACCATGGAAGGGTAGAAAAAGTGGTTGACTCTTCTCTGATCAGAGCTTCAAATAATGAGTCCCCGGAGGTGAAGAAAATGTGGGAAATTGCAATTGGGGAATTGATTGAATTGGGTATTCTCTGCACACAGGAGTCCCCCTCTACCAGGCCAACCATGCTTGATGCCGCTGATGACCTGGATCGCCTCAAAAGGTACCTTGATGGGGACACTACAGCAACATTTGCTTCATCCCTTGGAATTTCTTCTTCTAATCTAGATGATGACTAACAGCTTATAATTTTCTTCTGCATAAAATTATCATTGGTTTACCTAATTTACTGCTACTTTGCACTTTTAAAAAGTTTAACCAATAATTAACTAGAAGAGGTATGGCAGATCGCTTGAGAATGATACCAAACAACTATAATGTTAAACAGGGATTTTCTAGATTTACAATCAGGTTATTTATACATCATAGGTGAAGCTAAAAGCAATTCTCCAGTAAAATTGAAGGTGAAGGTCCAAAAACCAGTTTAGGAACAAACGAATTTTCCAAGTCAAATATCTGTACATATATAAAAGCAGTAATCAGAGATTCAATCACTGGATCTCTGAACCAACAATAATGTTATTTCAACATTTAAATGACCAATATATTAAAGGTCATTTACTAAATGAGAAACTGCATTAAATCCGAAGCAACCAAATTCACATGGAGTATCTTGGCTGAATCTAATATAGAAGCATAAGGAAGCCATATACTATATTCAACTAGACAATCAAACCAAGTCTGATCCACAATCAGAAGGATATGTGCACTATTTTTTGCACATATACAATGAAGAAGATAAAGCAAAAACTTCAGGATGAATAGATTTTTTCTCCCTGTCTCTCTCATTGAGATCGGTATTAGTCCAATTTCTTCTCATGATAAGATAAATTATTGCACTGTGACCCATATATAAGGTATACCTGCACTACCGAGTTAGATCAAAGCAGTTGATATGTCTTGCATGATTTGTAAGGTACCCGACCACAAGAACCCATCTCCCAGCACTCTAAGAAGATAATTGGTGGATAGCATTTTTGAAATTTGATCCTCATTTGTAGTCTCAAAAGTGAAGGCAACTAAGAAATTAAGAGAAAGGATTATAATTGAGGGAAGAAAACACACTTCACTTAAAAGATAATTCTTGTAAGATACAGATTACAAAATCCTTAGAAAAAAAGCTCTCAATTTATGCAACATATTGACGTTTTGTTCTTAAACTACACACTTCTAATGAATGTGATCCTACGTCCAGGATGATAAAGAACCTTATTAAGATAGGAAAATGACAGAAAGCTATACACAAAAAGATGAGGAACAAAAAAGATAACAGAAACAATGGTTGTGGTGATGACATAGCTACCATTTACTTTCTTACACATAATGACAATCATGACTTTCCATCAGCCACATACTAGCAAGTGGTGAGGTTGGTCCACATTGTCAACATATTAGGTAGCATTCTTGAAGACTTCTTTTCATTAACTTATGCTATTCTTTTGTTTTTCTCTCTAAATTCTGACTAACTATACTGAAAGGGGGTTCGAATACATGGTTGGTATCATCATCCAACAAGGGAAAGGGATGCCTAAAGTAGTCATCTAGTAGATAATGGGATGAATAGGAATATCAGACATCACAAAAAAGTTTACAAGTTACGTAACCATTTAGCTTGATGGTGCTACCAATTCAAAAGAAATGACAAATAGACTTCAAAAGGTGTGATTAAAATTAATACACCCGTCAAGCAACTTGATGTTAGGTTAATTAAAATAGTGTAAATCCATGAAACAAAGCACTTTGATAAGCTGCAAGAACTAAAGTTCACTAGTGTCAAGTGGGTCTGCTTTCTATATGATCACACTCTTGAAACTTCCAAAGCATCAACTAAGTGCTTGAATTTGCTCAACAACTTTGCGCATTATTGAATTACACTTTCTTTCTAGAGATAGCAAGTCTTACACTGGAAACAAATCAAGTAATGCAGTAACCAAAATTACTTTACTTCAACCATATAAAATGGAAGATATATGTGGCTCATCTAGCCTTTTTTTCTAAAACTGCAATTATATTATTTAACAAAGTACAAACTGAACAAATATAAACAGAAAAAAGAAATACAAAAAGATTAAAATTAAACTCAGCAAAGTAAATAAAAACCCACCTTCAATTAGGGTCAATCAAGAGGAAAAGTAACAAAATGGAAACCAAAAAATTTTGAACTTAAGATGAAATGGAAGAAATAGTCATGTGTTTCATCACATTTAAACATAGGAAATCAAAATTCAAAATGTAAAAATAGCAGACGTTTTAGGAAAAGAGATAGACCTTGTTCTTGTATTGGGATCAGATGGTATCATGGATCAGTCATTTTCTCACAATCTGAAGGATGGGGACGAAACAAAGAAAACCCCTCCAGGAAGTCTGGAACTGCAAAACACTACCTGAACCCGGACCATACTCTATCAGATCCATATCCACCTCATACACGTTAAGGCGCACTGGGTACTACCCAAGTTCCCATGCCAGTAGGCCCAATTTGTAAACAAAAAATTATTTACCAAAAAAATCAAGAAAAAAAAAAAAAAACCTATAGACTCACTTTGCTCACTGAATAACAAATTGCTAAACTGAGTTCATATATATAATTTATAAAGTTTTAACCTTGATTAAACCAAAAAATATATATATAGCAAGACTATTGGGCCACAAGGCAAACCTAAATTACAATCTCTAATCCCTTTTACTTATTCTTGTACATATTTTTAAGTAATGATTTTTATAGTATATATAAATGATAATTTAAATTTTTTTATGAATGAAATTACTTAATAAGAATTACGTATTAAAAAAATTAAATTATTATTTATATACTATAAAAAGACCATCACATAAAAATATATATGGTGATTTGAAAAATGGGACTAGAGTTAGAATGAAATTGGCAATGGTTTTGGGCTTTACGATGTGTAATATGAACTACATTCCCAAATGTCAAAGGACAGTCAAACACTTACTCCAAGACCAACCCCAGAACAGGCAAGCAAATCCTCAGGAATACAACCAAGAAAAAAATAAAATTCCTTAGGAAGGAGTGAAACAGTATCATTAGTCAAAGGTATGGGACTAATTAATCATGCATCCACCCTGTAGCCAAATAAAGGTGTTCTGATAATTTGAAAATCCTTCCTCCTAGGGTAGGCAAATCTCGGTTTTGGTTTTAACCAAAATAAAGATTTGATTAATTTAAAATTTTTTTTAAGTTGTGCATTTAGAATACAAGTTAAGGATACTTCTTTTATAATAAATTTGATAAAAAAAATGTTAAAATAAATATTAATTTTAGTGTCAATACTATATAAATAAATTTAATTAGACAATTAATAAATTAAATATTATTTTTTATTTTTTTTCAAAATTTTTAATCTGTTCCTTTAGGATATAGGTTAAAAAACCCCTTAATTTAAAGTTTTTTTTTTGTTATAATAAGTTTGGATTTGATTCTAATAAATAATTATCAAATATAAAAGTAAGATTAAAAAATGGTAAATGAATAAAAGTAAGATACGAAATTTTGATTTTTTTAATTTTTAAATATATTTTAAATTCAAAATTTAAATCATAATAAAATTTATAAAGTAATACTTGAAAAAGTGATTAAATAGGATGAATTATATATATTTAGAATATTCAAATAATAATTATTTATATATATTTTTTATTTTTTAGTTGTTGGAATGTGCTGGTAATGTGGTTGGTGAGTCAGTGGTGAAGATAACGTGAGAGCTTACTAGGATGCCACCCGAGAAAATGAGGAGGGTTCTTTTGGGAGCACCCATTTCACGTGCAAAGGGTTACGTGCTACGAGCCATCTCGTTTTGTCCAGTGAAGATGTCCAGCGATAATATCCAATAGCAAACTCTCTAGCAAAGTTTGAAAGTCCAAATGTTTCAGCCAAGTCGAGAGAGTTGAGCAATGACAATGGAGTTTCAAGGGCTAGGGATGATTACACAACTACCAAAAATAGTGCAAATAAGGTGTACATTGTTGTAGAAGCAATAAGGATAGAAAACACATGAGGGTCAAGAGTTACAACTTGAGAAGCACATTTACATATAAAATATTGTAATATAATAATAATGACAATAAATGTGTCATCTACTATCTTTAGTAAATATCTTCACGGGCAGCATTCACCCATCCGTGCCTACCAAGCCACCACTCCCATAGTTTATCTCAAGTAGTTCCCATGAGCTTGGATTCACGGGCTTATGTTTATCTACAATGAAAGCAAGATGCGAATGAGTATATATTCAAATATTTAAGTGTTAAATATATGGATATGTGCAACGAAGAAGGGTACTCCCTTGTGTATTAAGGTGGCAATGTGAATGAATATTTGGCTATGCCCTTTTGTCTGCTAGTCATGGTGAATACTTGTATAATATTGTTATATATAGTTGGCATGATGCCAAGACCATGAATAAGTGATATAGATGTGTGTTGCGATAGCATTGTCCCAAACCAAGCATCGTTGGTCAACGATACCTATTAACACTAAAGCATAGAAGATTTATGTTATGAGTTAGGGTTATCGCCGACCAATAATTATGTCCTTTTGTGTGAGAAAATAATAATGTGCATGGCGGCTAGTCATGTAAATATTGCAAGGTTAGCCATGAATAGCTTTCCTATAGTTAAAGGGATAATAGTGGCTAGCTTTACCTATAACTGGAGCGTGAACTATGTAGAATTGGAAGAGCATTCCCATTAATTCGCCAAGTTGCAAAGAGGTAAATCTCACTAAACTAGACTCCGCCATAGCGATGAATATGTGATGGAGAGAGGTAGAGTTGTCTCCATGGAAGGGGGACACCAGCCGCATCCATGGCCTTTGATACAACAAGGTGTGATACCACTAACAAACACTAGCCGTTCTTGCCATACTTGCACCGCTAGAGGGTGATCTTGGTTGTTGTTACCCATCGAGCACCGCACCACCATGCATGGGCGACCACCAAGGGACCGTCGGCCGCTACTTGATGGATTTTTATTACTAGAGGGTAGCCATCATGTCCGATCATAGGTTTGCAACTGTTACCGGTCTCACACTAATCGTATTAAGCTGCACTGACCCTTTGTTCATTTCTGGGAGCTAGTGAGATAAAATATCTAGAAATCCAACCCTCTATCTATTATTAGGAGCCGATGTGATGAAGATATGCAGAGATATGTAGTCTTTTACCCATCACTGGAAGCTAAATAAGATAATGAATCTGGCCCCTTGTCCATCGCTAGGAGCCACAAAGTGTAGCAATGAATATCGTTATGGGGGACATGATTGTTAAAAACATCCAGCCATGTCATGGAAATAGATCTAGCCATGTTTGACCATGTATATAAAAATAGATGCTAGAGTAGGCTGCATTTTGCAATATTTCCAACGGAGTAGATGAATGCCGCTTCTGATGACGCCAACTCTGTTGCAGTAATCAACAAAAAATAAGAATAATGTGTCTAGTGTGAAGAATAAGTCATGTGAGCCTTTACTAATGTGGAACCGCACATGTCATTGGTCTCAAAGCTATTCAAATTCATCCCTCAACATTAGTTATATATTCGTTCTTGGTTTTTAAGCCCTCCAACCAAATAACCAACTAAATTTTTTTAGTTATGACCAAAACAAAATAATTAAATAAATAAAAACCAAATACATCTTACCAATCGGTTATTTTTCAATCAATTTTTAATTAACTATTCGATTAACCAACTATTTGCCCACCCCTATTTCCTCAAATTGAAATCATTTTTCAAACGATTAATTTCTTGGTATTAATTTATTATTGAAAAAAGAAACCATAATCTTTAATCCTTTTTTATTGGAAAACAAATTTACCAATCAAATCATATTTATTTCTTTAGTACATATTGTTTTCACTTTGACATGGTGTCTAGAAGAATTTTCTTTTATATATATATATATATGTGATAAGACATTATGTAAAAAAAAAAAACCCTTTCTTTTTCTTTTTTTTGAAAATTTTTTTCACTCAATTCAAAATTTAATTTTATAATTTTTAAAAGAAACATTTCATTAAGGACAAAGACCTTT